GGATGATGATGATGATAGTGCTAAGGATGATAATGATGATGATGATGAGGACCATGATGATGGTGTTGATGATGATGATGATGAGGATGATGATTATGATGATGATGATGATGATGATGATATGATGACGATGATGATGATGATGATGATGATGATGATGAAGATGAAACTACCTGGCACTAAATGTTGGATATAGCCGCCTGACTGATTAACGAATACGCTCAATGCTTTTTCTTTTATTTACACAAACATTTTCATCATTTATTGGTCCGAAAAAATACGAGAGGAAATACTTTTTTTTTTTTTTGTAAGTAAAGCATTGATTGTTGAAGAAAATAAACAATACAAATGATTTTTTTCCTCGAAATTCTTCGCCTGTTTTTCTTCTTTTTTTTTTTTTTGAGGGGAAAGGAAAATTTTGAACGGATCAGTATAGTAGAATATAATTCAACATATACACATCATTTTCAAATAGCCAAGAAGATGGGAAATTAAGTTTGATAAGATAAAAATTAATGCGATGACAATCATATGAAGATTTTTAAATGACCACAATTAACCTGAAATCTTCATCAAAGGTTAAATTATTCAATTTATTCTATACTCGAAATGGAAAGATAGAAAGGTAAATATTATTGAGAATAATCTAATGGTAATAATGAATTCTTATCGATGGAACTAACCGATTTATCGAAAAACCCATCCAATACACTCGATATGATAATATAATAGTGATTCATTTTTGAAAAGTTATTGCTTGCAAAAAGAACGGCAAAATTTTTTGTAAACATGATGCGAAAAAAGATTTTAAAGAAATTTAAAGCGGATACAAAAAAAAAAGTCTTTGAATTAATCATAATTTTTAACTTTGACCAAAAAATTATTTGAAAAAATTTAAAATTTCGTTTCAGATAAATTGTAAAACAAATGATGATTGCAAGATTTGTTTTTGTATTACAGGAAAATTTATTTTTTTTTAGATTTAAAAGTAAAAATAAGAAGTATAAAAAATGTTTCTTTCGCCTGAAATGGCAAATAAAGTAACTTTTGGTTTTTTTTTTTCTATCCAAACTACAGCTGAAATATTTTGTTTTTAGCTATGTCACGAAGTTAATTCTCGAAAAATTTCGCAGAATAAATTCAGCAAAGTTATGCTTACAGTATGGTCGAACAAATTATCCTAAACATTTCTATTATCAACTTTGTTGTAGAAAAAGCAAAAAGCTATATCTTTTTTCTAGTTTTATTTTTTTCTAACTTTTCAAGTTTCTAACATTTTCATCTTTTTAACTTCTCAACTTTCCAACTTACCAAGTAACTTTTCATTTTTTCTAACTTCTCAGGTAGGGTGAAAAAGTAAATACGTAAATTAATGAGAATATGTAATCCGAAGAAATTTATTCTTTAATATCAATATTAGTAGTCTTATTGTTCCTATTTTAATTTATTAAGTAATTTGAATTAACTGAGTGGGGAGAAACATGGAATTTCTTCACTTGAACGATTCATAAAGAAGAATTTTTTTGGATGATGAAAAGAAATATTAATGATTCCGGATTTATCAAGTATTTCGAATGTTATTCAATGTTATTAATGAAAAAATGTTATCAAATATCAACATGATCAGTAGCAATTGCTTTCATAAATAAAATTCATAAAATGATAACGATAGTACAATGAAAGTACCAGTGTATCAGGATCAGTACCAGAACTATTATGAATAGATAATTATGGTATGATATTAATACTAAGAACTAAAATGTTGTTTATAGTCATTTCAATGTTAGTCATTTAACAAGAATGACATTAAATAATGAATTTAAACTAGAAATGAGGCCACTTTATAGTTGTATCTCCTTTATTCCTATTTAATTTCAAAAAATGAATTAACTCAAGAATGTAAATTGAGGTGTAAACCATAATGAACTTCAAGATCCAATAACTATTCTTATTTCAGGAAATGTTAATATACTTGTAGTCAGACCGGAAATTCGAAAGCAGCAACCGGAAAAAGCAATAATCTTATATTGTTTCATAATTTAGTTTTTATTATAATTAAATAAAAGAATTTATTTTAAAATATTAAGCTTAATTTTACAATGTAGCGAGCTCAAAACATTTAATAATATTACTTTTATCTATCAGTTGTACTGTTAAAATGAAATATCCATTGAAGAAATTTGTAAGTAGAGGGGAAAAACAAAAACACCATTTTATCTAATTCATATTTTTAATTTCGAACTATTTCAGTTTAAAATTTTTCAAAATGGAAACTTACAAGTTAAAAAATAAAATTTACTTGGAAATATGAAATTCAATTTCAATGAAATTGAATTTCACTTTGTTCTTCATCAATTTTTTTCGTTAAAATAGCAATTGATGATTGCTATATTAAGAGAAAAATGATTAGAGAATGAAATAAAAATGTCACATATTGAACTGATTTTATTAAATATTTGAATTTTAAATAATGTTATTTTCTGCAATAAACTTATCCAATTTTCAAAATATATCAAAAATTTAAGAAGAAATTTTAACCTCCTTTTGATCGAGCACCTAAACCACAATGATCATCAATGCCAACTTCATTTTCGACATCAGCAACATCTTCCAATTCATGTAACTGAGTGTTAAGTACGCGTCTTTTTTCAACCAGTATACATTTGTTACAGGCGCAATTGGCATATACACATTCGCATTTATGATTTTTGCGCGGTTCCAAACGATTATGATTCAAACAACGTTGACAGTAATAGACTCGTTTGGAGCCTAAAGAAAAAATAGACAAAAATGAGAAATAAGAAATTAAAAAAGATGATGTTTCATGGAGTAATATTGATAATACCAAAATTTAAAATTATCATTTCATGGGAAAAAATAAAAACACGAATTGAAAATTGATTATGCTAATTGGTAGATTGGTACTACTATAAGTTGTGCGAGGAAACCCTTAATGATAATTCAAGGTCTCTGATAAAAGTTTGGTTCTACCTTGTTATCAATTGATTTCAATCATTTAAAGCAATTATTTTTAGCTTGGAATAAATTTATAAATTACAAAGCGAATATTATAAAAGAATGAAATTTCAAAAATTCACCAATTTTATCGACAGCAGCAGCAGCAGCACTTAGCGCTGCAATCGCATTGATTGCCTCAAATCTAAAAAATTGAATTATAGAAGTTTTACCATTAATTTTAAAATAACAAATTATGAAATTTTTAACATTTTAAAATTGAAAGAAACATCCTAACAATCAATTAATCCGTTAATTGAAAATTAATATTTCATCACATTTAAATAAGGTAAATTTATTGCAAAAAATATTATAATTTTCTTTTATTATTTTAAAAATGAATTATTTCTTTTAGGAATAAAAAGTGGTATTGCAAATTTCTAATTTCAAAACTTTAAAATTAAAAAGTAATTTGAAAAAATAGAAATTTTAAAAAATTGAAAAATCAAATAACCTCATCATTATTACAGGCAATAATTGAGATCAGCGTTATTAGCGAACAAAAAAAAAAACAAAAAAAAAACCAAACACCGCTTTTTTTTTTCTGAGGTAAATAAACAAACTGAGGTTTCCGAATCGTAATGGTCTGAAAATTTGAAAACGAAGCATAAATGTGTTATTGTATAAATTGCTTCCAAAGAAAACGAGGACGAACAATAAGGAATCAGGGTAGTATTTATTTGTCGCGGGATAGCTTAATTTGCATATATTGAAAATAAAATTGAAGTTAAAAAGAAAATTAGCATAAATTTCTACTTTTTGTTCATTGACGAATTATTCGTTGACTTTATCGTTTCGCTTTGGCTAATTTAACTGTTAAAATAATTAAAGAAATTTATTTATCACGCAATATATGCATATTTCATCATGTTGGCTATTTCAAATTAATATTTAAGAGAGTGTATAATGGAATCGAGCAAGTATATATCAAAATTTTAAACATCAGTAACAGATGAATGAATTGAGTAAAATTAATGGAAATAAAACAAAATATCAGTTCATGTTTATTATTATTTTCTTTTTTCTTTTTATAAATTTGTATTTGACCAGTAGCAGTAGGTAAGGTCAGAAAATGATTTTATTATTATTCTCTAATCATTTGGTTAATATTTTATTTCTAATAATTTACAGATATCACAATCAAATTTGCTAAGGTAAAGTGATAAGATATAATTGTTATCTTGCATATGATATGGGAAATAATGTGGGACAAAGAGGAAACATATGATAAAAAAGCAGTATTCATGATTAGTAATACTAATAATAATAATAATAATAATAATAATAATAATAATAATAATAATAATAATAATAATAATAATAATAATAATAATAATAATAATAATAAGAAGAAGAAGAAGAAGAAAAAGAAGAA